CAGTTACTTTTTGGAGGTGAATTTTCCCCACCAACCAGGCTCCTCTCCTAATTTCAAAGAAAGCTAAGAGTGGACAATCTGCACGAGTTACTGTATATTAATGGTGTCTGAGCGTACAAGGTCAAAGGTCACTGGAGAGAGAGCAAGAAAAGTAGAATCCCAGAAAGATGGGCAGATATTTCTGTAATTGAAGATAGCTATTCTTATCTGGTCTAAAAACAAACAGGAAGATGATATTAGGGTACACTACATAAAATATATATGCTTTTGTTATTTAACTGATTTGCATAGTCTATTTTTAATTTTTCACATTTCTTTTGTGAAAATAATAACATATTTCCCATTAGTGGGAACATGAACTTAAAGCACTAGTCAAATAAATGGCTGTTTCTGGAAATGGTTGTTGTCTTTCAAGTTTTACATAGAAAAAAATCCTCTAAGTATCTATATATATAAAAGCCTAAGCGACCTTTACGACCAATAGACCCTAACCCTATGGTCGGCAAACCACGGCTCACGAGCCATATGCGGCTCTTTGGCCTCTTCACTGTGGCTCTTCCACAAAATACCACGTGCGGGTGTGCACGTACAGTGCGACTGAAACTTCGTGGCCCATGCGCAGAAGTCGGTATTTTGTGGAAGAGCCACACTGAAGGGGCCAAGGAGCCGCATGTGCCTCGCAAGCCGTGGTTTGCCGACCACTGCCCTAACCAATCTTCTGGTTGCTATGACACACATGCTCAATGCAGGAGCTGCCCCCTGGTGGTCAGTGCACTCCCACAGCCAACCCCCCTTGGTCCCTCCCCCGGGCTGGCCTGGTGGTCAATGTGCTCCCACAGCCAACCTCCTGCTGCCAGCCAACCTCCCACCGTCCCTCCCCCAGGCCGGCTGGCAGCAATCAGCCCCGATTGACCCCAATCAGGACTGGGCGAGACGGCCTCAATAGGCCCTGATCACTGGCCAGGCCAAGGAATCCCACCCATGCACGAATTCATGCACCAGGCCTCTAGTTTGTGATAACAGTTGAACATGGAAGGTCACTCCAGTGACGTAAAACATATCTACCTCAATAAATTTCAGGGAAGGAAGTATTTCTACCAAACTATAAAATTACTTCTATCAAAAATTTATTAACTTCTAAAAATTAAACCCACATGCAATGTCAGAGAAGAAAGTATGTTTTAAGGGCAAGTGACTGAATTTAATATGATCTAAAGCAAATACTGCTTACAAAGATCTGAGTTAATTACACATAAATTTAATTCAATTTAGTATTAAAAGTGAATGGATAAGGAGGTTTTTAAAAAGGCCTTTTAAAAGAAAAAAACACTTAAAATTAAAATATTAACTAGATTCTTAATAGGTATTTTACTAATAAGTTAAAATAATAAATGTCCTTGCTCCATTTAAAATCACCACATTTTAAATATCAACAAAACAGTGTTTCTTAAACTGTAAACAGAACTTATTAGCGGGGTCTGACCAACATTTTTACTTAGTGAAAGAGCAGAGAGTATCTCACACATTTTAATGGTAAGAATATTTTATAAAATTCTTGTTTCAGTTGTGTGTGAATGCAGGTTGGGAAAATTATGTAAAATTTACATCTGTCTTTGTGTCATAATGGAAACATGAATGAGAGTCATTAGTCTAAAGTTTTAAGAATTAGTCAAACACATAAGAGGCTTTTTAGGAGGGCAAGTGTGAGTTCCTACAGTTCTCTAATTGCCAAGTACGAGAGAACCAGTAGGAAGAGGAGCGAGGAGAAAAATGTCACAAGCTGTATTCAAGGTGGGAACTTTGTCACAAAGAAATGAAGCAAGAGCCCAATATTACACACAGGATCTAAGGAACAAGAGGGCCAGCTGAAATATGATAAGATTGAGTTACCGTCCCTACATCAAGACAGCTATCCAGAAATGGCCCCACAGTCAGGGTGATGAATGAATGAGCCAAAGAGGCAAGGATCCACTTGGCTTCCCTCAAAAAGATGTCTCAGATTTTCTCCAACTTCCTCTGATCACCTCCCAACCTTTTCTTTCTTGGCCCATGGAAGTGATGCAGAGTATTAATGACTATAGAAATGTCATACGATCTACTTTTCAGAATGCTCTTATATATATGGTATATATCATCTATATGTGATCACATTTAAAATTGATAAATCCCTGCTAGGCAGAGCAGGGGATATCAATCACACTCACTGATGACACTGAAGCAGCGGCGTTCCTGGCACCGGCTATGTCAGTGCTCAGCCTGGAGATTCCCAATGCCTCTCCAAACAGCTGCTGCTGCAACACAGCTAAGAACCATTTAGTGCTGCCTCCCAGCGAGAACAGCCTGCCACCGGATGACTGCATATACAGCGCTGTTCCATTTCATGTCAGCTTATCACACAATGCCTTGATCAGAAGCACATTCTTAGTTTAAGTAAAAAGAAAATGAATTCAATGAATTGTCACATAGGAATAATTACTGGATAGACAACACACATCTTCCCTATTATGAAAGATAGTTGAAAAAGCAATTAATGTAATCTGTGATATCAATAGACTAAAAGAGAAAAATCATGTGATAATCTCAATAAAGTCATGAAAATACTTGAGAAAGTTTAATATTTATTCATAATAAGAACACTTTCCCCTAAAGTGAGAATAAAAGTAAGTTTTCTCGCTTGATGACAGGCATCTATTAAAAGAACTAAAAGACATCATACTTAATGGTAAAAAAGTGAAGACATTCCTCCCAGAACAGGAAAAAGGCACAGAACTTCACTCTCATCACTCCTATTCATCATATTGGCAATGTTGGCCAGTGCAAAAAGGCAAGAGCAAGAAATAAAATGCATACAGATCAGAGTGGAAGATTAAAATTTCCTGTATTCACAGATGATTATATATGTAAAAACATCAAAAATCTGAAAAATCTACTAGAAATAATATAAATTATTTTGGCAGCTTTGTAGGAAATATGGTGAATATACAAAATTAATTTTAATATACTAGCAATTAACATTTAGAAATGGAGATATTAAAAACCATTCACATACAGAGTATGTGTTTATTATAATACATTTCATTTTCAAAATTGAGCTATCAGCTGTTAAAGAGTGTATACATTTTTGGGGACATCCTATATGTGTCAAATTCATCAAATTATCGACTTAAAATATGTTTCATTATATCTAAATTATACCATAATAAAATTGTTTTTTAAAAAAGATGGGTCCTGATTACACTGTGATATTGATTCCAAGGTACTAAATAAAATAAAAGTTATTCATTAAAAAAGGACAGCCAGATTATTTTTAAAATAGGTTAAAAGTACTAAACAGATAATTTTCGAAAGAAGACATAAGAAAGGCCAAGAGACATATGAAAGCATGCTCAAAGTCACTAATCATCCAAGAGATGCAAATCAAAATGACAATGTGGTACCATCTCACACCTGTCAGAATGGCTATCATCAACAAATCAACAAACAACAAGTGCTGGCGAGGATGCGGAGAAAAAGGAACACTTGTGCACTGCTGGTGGGAATGCAGACTTGTGCAGCCACTGTAGAGGACAGTATGGAGCTTCCTCAAAAAGTTAAAAATGGAACTCCCATTTGACCCAGTGATCCCACTGATCACAAGATATATCACAAGAAACTAGAAACCAATCAGAAAGGATATATGCATCCCTATGTTCATAGCAGCACAATTTACAATAGTTAAGATTTGGAAACAGCCTAAGTGCCCATCAGCAGATGAGTGGATTAAAAAACTGGTACATCTATACAATGGAATACTACACTGCAGTAAAAAAGAAGGAATTCTTACCATTTGCAACAGCATGGATGGAACTGGAGAGCATTATGCTAAGCGAAATAAGGCAGTCAGATAAAGATAAATATCACATGATCTCACTCATTTGTGGAATATAATGAACATAAACAAAAACAGATCCAGAGACAGAGAAGCATCAATCAGATCATCAAACCTCAGAGGGATTGTAGGGAAGGGTGGGGATAAGGGGGAGAGAGCAACCAAAGGACTTGTATGCATGCATATAAACCTAACCAATGGACAGAGACAATGGGGAGGTGAGGGCATGAGGGGGGAGGTGTGTGTGTGGGGGCAATGGGGGGATAAGGACATATATGTAATACCTTAATCAATTAAGAAAAAAAAAATTTTTAAGGTACTATAGTGGAATATTGATATGGTGATATACAAATGCCTAAGAGAGGATAACAGTATCTTAAAATGTTAATTTATAAGGAAGAGTATGTATTTGTATATAGACATTAACACATCAACAAGCACTCACTTATTACTATATTAATAAATACCCAAGAAGATTCACTAACATGACATTCTCATGTCATAAGTTAGTTTTTGGTTTGAATTAATATCCCCCAAAGTTTCAGATCCCATATTGCTGATAAAATATGAGATTAAGATCTTCAATATTTTGTAAATTGGGATAAAACACCATGACATTGGGGGAAGGCAGGAATATATCTGAACAATAATATCTTTCTGCTACTGAATGTTTTCACATGAGTGTGGGCACATAAAGAAGCTGTGCAGAAAGTACCCATAATAAAAGCTTCTGTCTCCATAGAAGTTGGAAGTCTACAATATTTTATTTTTCTCTCTTTTTTTTCTTTTTTCTTTCCTTGGTGTATATTTAAGTGTCTTTCCTTTAAAATAATCCACACAAATTTATATTTACTTTAGGTCCATTCATCACTTCCAAAAATGTAATTCACATAGACAAATTTCTTCAAAATTATAATGTGTTGTCAATGTGTTGACAGTCTTGCACAATTTTAAAAAATCAACCTCACCTAAACGTTTGACAATTTTACCAGGTCCAAAGGAAGAAAAAAAAATAAAGAGAACTGTAAAACAGATTGTATTTAAAGAAACACAAAACAGGTTGATTTCTACTATGTGTATGATTTCCCAAGAGTAGAATTAAACTTGGAATGAACAAAGATAAACCCCTTACCTGTTGGAAGGTGCAGTGTTATGTTATTGCAGAAATCTGTGAAGCAGCATTCGGTTTTGGTAACATTGTTGGAACTATGACAGAAGACTTGAGCATTTAATTCTGGGAGAGAGACACAGGACTTGATCACCTGCTCCTTTCCATTGGTTAGCATAACTGAAGCCCAACATGCTCCTTCCGTTTGGCAGGTGAAGTTTGAAGAGTCACACAAAAGACATACACACTTCAGTCCTGAAAAGTGTAAGGCAAGCAAAAAAAGCTTTAAGATACAAAAGACATCATGCAAATTTGTTTCATCAAACCTAGGTGTAGAAAACCAATCTTAATGAAAATTGAGGGAGGGATTAAATAAACAGCACCAGATAAATACGTGCTGAACACATGAACGCTCTCTCAGTCAGGTGTTTTGTTTAAACAGGTTGCCCAGTCATCCCTTTGTTTGGATCTTATGAATTTATTGCTATTATATTTTAAAACAATTTTCTCATCCATGGTCTGTCTAATCTCTTCTTCTTAAGCTTAATCAGCTCCTTCCTAAATCAACAGCTCCTGTGAAACACTAGGATACAGTAACACAGCAACCAAGAGGGGCCTGTCTGGCATCACTTGTGGAACATTCAAGTGTGATCACAGCAGCTGTGCAACCAAACGGCACAGTTTATTCTGTTCACTTACTCTTTCTCCTGTAATCTTTTAAGTGAATGTGCTAAATACAAACCTAACCATAGATATTTACAGCTAAAAAAAATAGTGTGAGTCTTTACAGGTGTATTTTGTAACTTTTAACATTATTGTTATCCTCCTAGTAACTTTAAGGCACTGATGAGCCATTATACTTCCTCCTCTTCACTAATGAATACATGTTAGAATGAGAGTCATTTGAATATACACCATGACCTTCAGGCAATTTTCTTTAATGAACACATCTATTCAATAAAGCAAAACACATCAATTATACAATTTCATATATCTACTGCAATAAAACTTTGAAAAAAAACTACATTTTGCTAAGTTAATTTGTTCGCTTCACAGATTTCCTCCACATTCCCCACTTCCCATACATACACACACACACACACACACACACACACACATTAACTCACATGGTCCAAGTGATGCAGTACTTGTATTCTGATGTAAAATATCTGTCAGCCAGAAAAGTCCAGAAAGTGGTGAGCAATTTATTTAAATTTTATTAATACCATTGTTTATAAAAAATACAATAAAGTATTTTTACTTTAATAAACTTTTAAAAAAATTATAACTGTCCCCAACAATTATCTGACTATCCAAACTTTTACAATGCAATCATTTTTACTCAAATGAAAGTCTTTAAATTACTAATTGGTCAATTTGGAGCTGAGTTTATACCTATAAAATATTCAATACATAAATGGCAATTAATATACTCAACTTCAACTACTAATATAAGAGCAAATATGGATAATATTCTTCTATAAAAGGGTGAGTTAGAAAGAAAAAATTACATAGTAATTAATAGAAATTATATCTTCCTTTGATAATTTTTTATTGACTAGTAGAATATCATCCCCATAAGTATTTTCATTCCTATGTGCTAAGAGAAATACAAACATAAACTAAAATACTATTTTGTTAACAACTTTGGACCAAGCATAATGGCTCATTCTTCTATTTATTCCAATTGTGATCAATTTAAATGTACTCTGAGGGTAACAGATGTACATTCGGGCAGGGGTGAGCTGGAGGGGGTCAATGGGGGTAAAGGGGGTCATATGTAATACTTTCAACAATAAAGAATTACTTTTAAAAATGGTGAGAGGAAGAGGGCAGAGGGGAAAGGACATGAATAAAGTGGATATACTTTTAACTTTTTTAATAAAATAAATGTACTCTGTTGTTGATATTTGTGTGCTATGGTGGAACTTTATAATCTAGATTTGTTGGTATTCAGCAGAACTAGATATATAAAATCTAAGTGATTTGAGTTTAAGTCACTTTCTTTGCATAACAGAGAGCTCATATAATGAGGATCCACCCACCCAGGTGTCTTCTGAAAGTAAAATCTCTCTAGCATCTTCCAATTCCAACCTCAAGGCCTTCAAATCCTAGTTATACTAGCTTTGTAATCTTGGGCATTACTTGGCCCCTCTATGCTTCCATTTCTTTATATGAAAGATAAGAAAAATATACTTCTTTATAGTGTTGTTATGAAGAATAAATTAGTTTACCTATGTAAAGTCCTTAGAACAGTGCCTGGTACATAGAAAGTACTATGCAATTATTAGTGAATATGTATTTTTCCTACTGAAGGAAATAAAGCTCATTGTCCTATGCAAACAATCAAAATATATTGGTGATCCATAAAGGAATGGCTGAAATAACTAGGTGCACAGACCATTTCAAAGGCATAACAAGGAAATATATCTTTTTTCTGCTCTGCTCAGTAAGTTCAATGTTCTCATTCTTTTCATTGTTTGTGCTAGAACCTAGATAGACAGTCCCAGAGCAGGGTGGTGTCTGGTGACAGTTCAGAGAAAGGTCAGGAAAAGATGAAGGTCCCAGTCCCAGCTCTGTCACTCACAGGCTGATTGACTTTGGAGAAGATGTTGAATTCCATGGGCTCTCCCTGCCTTCCTCTACAAATGAGAAATAAACTGGGGGAGGCAGCGGATCCAGAAATCTCGAAGTCTCATATGGTACCAGCATTTTATGACTTTATAAATTTATAATTTATGGATTTTCACAATTACAAAATAAGAAACATTCTTTGATTTAAAGAAACTGACTCTACTCTGTTTATTCTTCAATCTCATATTTTTAGGGGCTGAAGTTGAGATTATAAATCTCCTGACACACAATCTCAATCTGTTTGTTACTAGACACCTCATCAGAGCCTCCTTGAATTTTCTATTTCCAAGAGAAGCCTAACCTGGAAACCAAGGCAATTAAGGAATATGGACCCACTGAGTGAACACAACCGTAAAGTACTCAACAATCAGACATATGCTAGTTCCTCATGTGTTTATCACTGCGTATAATTCCCAGTGCAACTGTGGGTGTTACCTGTCACTATCTCCATTTTATAGATGATGAAATGAGGCTCAAAAAGATCAAGTAACTGAATTAATGTGGTCATTAGACTACTCAAGCAAATGTTGCTTCTATTTTACTAAAGCTGATTTTTTTAAAAATGGGGACAGAAACCATTCTCCCATCTCACCAGTTTCTAATGAATGTGAATAAAATGTAATTCTATTCAGCAGAAGGAAATTAATAATCAACTTAATAATTGAGATTTTGATCTGCATTGTCCCAATTACCTTTTAAAACATTTAATATGTTTAAAACAATTCTACCTACCTATTTTATGAGGAGACAGGTGGTCCAATAAAAGTCAATAGCCTGGGCCTTGCATCAAGCCCAAAGAACCTAATCTTTCAGGTTATCTGAATTTTGAAATAAGTGTAAGCTTCTAGGTACCTAACCTGATACTTTCTCTTCAAAACAATACTAGCTCTTTAGAAAACGATTGCATAATAGTTCTCATCAAGGAATAACATGGATACTCACTGACTAATAGGCTATAAAATTACCTTCATTTAAAGTGAAAGGAATAAATCAGAAGAAGAATATAGATCCAGATTATACAGTTAAGAGGTAGTAAATGACACCTTACTTTGAATGTTGCACAATGGAAAACACTGCCAAAATTGACAATTTGTTGATGATAACAGCTGCAAACATCTGCTAAATGTTCTCATTTATTTCAGGTCAATTGGCAGTACTATAGCACTGACAGAGAACAAAGAGCAAATTACAAGAGCCTAAGATATATATCTAACACACACCTCGTTCAGTCTTGCAATTTTTCTTTCCCACCAATCCACAACATGGTCACATTTGGTATACAATTAAACCATATTTATGTCAACCATCCTCAACATGAACCTTTGTATTGCCAATGAAAACTTAAGTTGCCATTAGTGATTAGACTTATGCTTTCATAGTTTGTTTGTTGTGTTGTTTTTTTAAACTGCTGTTAAATGAGTCAATTATACTAGAATATTCCATGACAGGATAAATCCTGTTACTAGCAGACTAGCCCAGCCCCATGTTTCTTTATTTTATACTTTCCCGTTATACTCTCTTTGAGTCATATGGAAAAAGATGGCAAATGAAATTGAAGAAGAAGGTAAGTACCCATAATAAGGAGGACTATTGGATTTTTTCCCCACAAGGAAGACTGCGCTTTCCCTGTGTCTCCTCCCATCCCTTTAATTACCCTCTTTCCCCCTTTTTGTCAATTAGTCTGTAAAAGCCAAGACATCTGTTACCTCAAGGCATCTGTTACCCGCATGAAACCAATGGATGTGCACATTTCTAATCAACCAGAAAATAACTTTTTGTCCATGTTTACAGGTGATGGCAAGCACACGCTGGTGTCCAGAGATGTGAAAACTATCACACTACAAAAAAATGAACCAAAGTGATCAAATATTTCTTGAGAAATAATCATTGTTTTGAATTAGATACGATTTGCAATAAGTTGGTTTTATATTTCCTAAGTTTTCAACATTTTGGTTCTCTATAATAAAATAACTATTGACCAGTGTGTTATGTAAATTTCTGACACATACCCTTTCCTCTTTTCCAAACATTAGCTGATTCAATATTCCAAATTTTATTTTTATTTTTTAAATATATATTTTTAAAATTTATTTCAGAGAGAGGAAGGGAGAGGAAGAGAGGGATAGAAACATCAATGAGAGAGAGATTTGTTGATTAGCTGCCACCTGCATGAATCCCTACTTGAAATCGAGCCTGCAACCAACGCATGTGCCCTGACCCTGGGAATCGAACAGTGACTTCCTGGTTCGTAGGTCAACACTCAACCACTGAGCTATACCGGCCAGGCCAATATTCCTAATTTTAGAGCAGGCTAGTGAACACAAAATATTTTTTAATTTCAGAAAACTCTTAAGTTTGACCTGCTGAATATGTAATATTCATCATTTGCTGGCTTTTGAATTTAAAAAAATATACAACTCAAGCTCATCAGTGTACTGAATCTGAAAGTATGAAAACAAGGAAGAAGCCAATACAACTAATAATCGTGACTATGAGGTAAAGCAAGACAGAAGCAAAGAAAATCAGGCAAAGATTTTCTTTTCCTTTTCTGTTCCTTTTCAGAACTTTGATTTCTTGTCATATGAGCATTTAAAAGCATTTTTCTTTCTTATTAGTAAGGA